CCTGCACCTCCTCCTCCTGCACCTCCACCTCCTGCACCTCCCCCCCTCCACCTCCTGCACCTCCACCTCCTGCACCTCCACCTCCTGTAACTCCACCTCCTGCACCTCCACCTCCTGCAACTCCACCTCCTGCACCTCCACCTCCTGCACTCCACCTCCTGTAACTCCACCTCCTGTAACTCTACCTCCTGCAACTCCACCTCCTGCACCTCCACCTCCTGCACCTCCACCTCCTGCACCTCCACCTCCTGCACCTCCACCTCCTGCAACTCCACCTCCTGCACCTCCACTTCCTGCACCTCCACCTCCTGCAACTCCGCCTCCTGCACCTCCACTTCCTGCACCTCCACCTCCTGCACCTCCACCTCCTGCAACTCCACCTCCTGCTCCTCCACCTCCTGTAACTCCACCTCCTGTAACTCCACCTCCTGTAACTCCACCTCCTGTAACTCCACCTCCTGCACCTCCTGCTCCTGCTCCTCTTCCTTCTCCTCCTCCTCCATCTCCTGCCTCCTCCCCTTCTCCACCTCCTCCTGCACCTCCACCTCTTGCACCTCCACCTCCCCCTGCACCTCCACCTTCTCTCAGATCGAGCTGGTGGAACAATTGGGACCACAACAGGTGGGAACAAGGCTCCCTCTCCACCCCCACCACCACCACAACCAGTACCATCAGAACAACCACTACCACCACGCCATTACCGCCAAAGGATTTAAAGAAAACTTTTAAAGAGCCAGTGAAGGTGACAGGTGAGTGACATCGTGCGCACAAACACACCTGATCAATCATATCCATAAACTCAAGAAAGTGCAAGGGTTCCCAACAAGACTAGTCTCGGAGAGACTTAAAAGAACTGAACCTTCTGACTTAAGAACAGTGGCTTCCAGCCTGTTCTTTACACTGAAATCATAATACTCTGAGGCATCCCCATTATATTCCCCTGTTATTATAGTACTGGAGATGTATCTTGTCACAGACACGTCAGAACATGAAGGCAACGTGAAGAGTACAAGTTCTGTGAGCATAGAAAATGGTTGCTAATCATAGACTTTTATATTCCCCCAAGCTTTATTTTTACGGTCCTGCCATTAACACAGGACATGAATTATCTTCCAACGTTAAAGTTGCCTTGACGCCAATAAAGAGTTACCCTCCCATTCTTTGGATTATACCAGATTATCGCCCTTTTTCAAGACTCTCTATTATCCCTACTGATCTAGTGCTTCCCGTGAGTATAATATCAGCGTTAATATATTTTTTATGATTTCTTAATCGACTCTGGTCTGCTACGTTAACTGTGATCACTTTTATTGATGTCCTTCCCTCCACACCTCCACCTCCCCCGCATTAATGTCCTCCCAACTTCTGGATTCTCATCTCCTCCTTCCTTTCCTCCTGGTATGTCCAGTCATTCCTAATCTCTTGTTGTATCCTTCTTCAGATGGAGAGTGTGAGGATCGCATCGCTAACATCGCTGGCAGCCTCACTTGTCAAGAGTTCTTGCGCTCCTACGGGTTCCGCTACTGTGGTCACCGCTACATCCAGAAGAATTGTTGTCGCTCACAGAAGGACATGTGTCATGGACCCTAGAGGTGTTGGACGTCAGACGAAGGCTTCAACACCGCGGCCCAGGGCCACACACGGTGGTCCAGGGGCCATACACCGCAGCCCAGGGCCACACCACACACCAGCCCTAGAGTTCATGGGTTTTCCACACTGAGGGCCCTAAAACACTTCTGGTTAACATCTCAGGAGTGCTTCCCTCCTTGTGACTTCATACACCTAGAGCTCTCCTACCTCCGAGAGTTGTCACACTCCATGGGTCCCAGGAGTCGAAGTCCCGCCCATCAGGAAAAATTTCCACCACCAGAAGAGTCCTTCAAAATCGAGGTGATCCTAGCGCAGAGAGCATCGTCACTCAGAGCATCATAGGCCCCAAATGCCACCAGTTCATCCATGGTGGTCTATCTATTAAAGTGGTCTCTAGGCGGACCATTTGGGCGGCGGCACCAGACCCTCCGAGCTGCGGCGGCGGCTTGCTGGCGAGGCGACGGCGCGGGGGGTGACGCCCCTACAGTGTCCGGTGCCGCCGCCAGGGGCGCTACACGACAGACACATCACAACACAACCACACTGGAGGCTGGCCCCAGAGGCTCCAGCAATAGACTACAGACTTATACAGCACCACTCACAGTCCTCTCACTGCCACCATACCCTCAAGACAACTCAAGTTACTCTTCGAATGCCGCAGTGATTTTTTGAATGATTATTTATTTGTATGTGTTTTCTGAAATAATATGATGTTACCGAACTGAATCCTTTGTACAGTATACATTATTTATTCAGAAACTATGAACATTGCATACCAAATACATGATGCCCTCTAAATGACTACTGGTAGAAGACTGGTTGTGGACGGGACCAAAGGTTGTGTGTCGGCCAATCAGCATATACCACGAGGTCAAGACTGACCTCTTAGCCCGGTCTTTCCTAATGTGCTCGCTCGTGCGGATGCCGTTTTACCGAACACGAACTGTTCAAAAAAATGTGTATTGTATATAGTTGTTGATTTTTATATATAAATTTCAATTACTTCTGATGTATTATAAATGTTTATATCACAAGACACGTCATTGTAGTGGTATTTTCTTGTGCAATCTTCCTAGAACACATTTGTTTTTTTTTTTCCCCTTTACCAAATGAACTGTGTTTTTACTTATAAATTATAGAAGAGTAATAGAATTTCATTGCATTTAACTACCCTAGAAGCGAAGTATTGTGTGTAACTACCCTAGGTGCTACCAGCAGTAACAGCCTGGCTGATAAGGCCCTGATCCACCAGGAAGCCTTGTCAAGGACCGGGCCGCGAAGACGTTGGCCCCTGAAGCACCCTCCAGGTAGAAGCGAAGCATTGTGTGTAACTACGTAAATAAATTTATTCAGGGATACACAAATACAGTTACATAAATTACAATACATATCAGCATATGTGTAGAGAACCTAGGATGACCCAGAAAAGTCAAAGTGACTTACTTCTATCGAGGTCAGTGGTCAGTCGTCACATGAGGCCACAGACCCTGAGCTGCTTTGGGGATTAGTGTGGACGGTTACAAAGCCATGGCTTGCTTTTGCAGTGTTTTAAAAACTGAGAATGGAGTGTTGAAGGAGGAGGTTCTGCTTCTCCAGGAGAAAATTAGGAGGCTGAAGATTCACCTCAACAGGCTTGGGAGTGTGAGGTGGCTGAAGTGGTTGAGGGAAATGAGGCTTCTAGCAGTGAGGTGCAGTCTGTCACTCGCTGCGAGGAGGCTGTAGGTGGGAAGGTAGAAACAGCAACCAACAGTGAGGTGCAGTCCAGCACCTGCTACAAGTGGAGAGTGGTTCCCAGGAATGGGGGGAGCATCAAAATAAGGAAAGTTAAGAGAGAAGATTTGAAGGTAGGAAATTGCTTCTGTTCTTCAGGATGAGTGTACTTCAGTGGCCAGTGAAGGTAAAGGTACTACTTCCCCTGCTAATAGAGGTAAGCGAATTCTTGTGGCTGGTGACTTAGAGGTAATATATATGGACCATGCTTTGTGTAATAGGAATAAGATGAGAGATAAAGTGTACTTCCCTAGAGCTGGTGTTGGTGACATAGTCAACAGGTTGGATATCATGTCAGGTAATGGGAACAAGCCCATTATCTTCTCAGTGCTAGTGGAAATGATATTGGGAAGGGTAGGAGAGAAGAGCTGCTAGATAAGTATAGGTCAGCTATAGATTTAAGTCTAAGGGAGGGGTCCCAATCATATGTAGCATCTTGCCTAGAAGGGAAGTGGGCAATGAATGGTTGTCTAGGGCAATTGGTGTAAATTGCTGGCTAGACAGATACTGCAAGGAACTTGCAATCCCATTTATTGACAACTGGGACAACTTTTATGGCAAACATGATATGTATGCAAGGGGTACATCTCTCTGGGGCAGGGGTGGTAGCACTTGTGAACTCGATCGAGAGGGCCATTGCTGACATGCCTAGGATTTTAAACTGATAGAAGATAGAGGTATGGGTGTGTGTGGGAAACAAGCAGGTTGCAACACTAGGGCTGAAGACAGTAAGTGTATAAATGACATTCATCATGAAGTTATAAATAAAGACAATGGATCAGGTCAGCAAACAAAGGGAGACAGCAGAGGGTAGCAAGAGACTACCTCCCTTAAGGTCTACTATACTAATAGCATGAGTGTAAGAAATGAGATAGATGAGTTAAAATTAATTGCAAGTGCAGGAAACATAGATATTATTGCTATAACAGAGACCTGGCTCAATCTGAAAGATAGAGAGATGTCTTCTGAATGCCACATACAAGGCTATAAATTATTCCACACTGACAGGGTCAACAGGAAGGGTGGTGGAGTAGCGATGCATGTCAGAGATAATTTAAATTGTTGTGTTAGACAGGATATAAAATTAGAAGCGTCAGCCACTGAATCTGGTTACAGCTTCTCGAGGGCCGTGAAAAACTAATCTTGGGTGTGATTTACAGGGCCTGTGAAAATTTGTGTGCTGCCTCCAAGTGAGTCGCCTACCCTGGCAAACTCTGTTGACACCGAGCTCTGAGGTGGGTACCTCAGCCTCACAAGTGGCTTATAGGACAGATTTTCACAAATGATTGATGTTGCAAGAAACTCGCCTGCATGCATATATAAAGGACTAACTTACTTGGTGTTGGAGCATATATCCTGATCTTCAACTTCCCTAAGCTTAGCCTTAGCCCCTTTGGACTTCTCAGAAACCACGTGCAACTGGGAGCCTTAATTCCTGCAATTATTCAGTCGTTATTAGTGACCTGCCTGCACCTCAGAAATTCCTATTTCCAAGAGGGTATGTATCCCCTAGTATAACTATGCAGACACGGACACTAGCTTCCAGACTGCCAAGAGACACTGGTACTTACTGGGCATGCACTGCCTGCTGCACACTGGGCCCACAGATCAAACTCACTCACAATTCTCCCCAGACACTGGCCAGAAATCTACGAGATAAAGTGGAGGTCTTGTCTTACTGTATGGGCCTGACGGAGGTCATCTACGGTACATCGAGGTGCCTCTACCAGATTTCCCTAGGTCTCAAATGTGAAGACACATGGGGCGCCGTCTGCTGATCACGGCACGTCTTGTCCAGTTGGTGTCTGTCTTAAGAAGAACGAGCTGGTCTCTCTTCCAGACCTTCGTCTCTTCGTTCAAACTAGGGCTGCCAGATTTCCCTAGCCAACTTATCCTAGTGTTTGCCTACATAATCGGCCTATTACTACCTATGTTAAGGTCTTAGGTCTACATTATTATTATCTACAGTTGCCTTAGTAAACCTAATATTAGTGTACTAACAGTAAAACTACCTACTCCTTCCCTGAAGGGTAAATCTATAAATTAAATAAGCTTACCAACAATCCACGCCAACTCGAGAGAATGCTTTGTTTTGGGTGGGGTATAAGGGCCACCCAGCTCAGCCGTTCCATTACGGCCATGCCGGATCTGTCCTGTGGAACTTTAGGGACCAAATAAATTTCCACATCCTCCCGCCGGTGAAGGTAGGCGCTAAGTCTAAATCAAGTTCACCTTCCGCGAGCCCCCACAGGGGACTGAGTCCCATCTGGCATCTGTCGGAGGGGATCGGTTTCTAACTTCAACCTTTCCAGTTTCCCCTCGTGGACTCTGGGGGTGTAAACTTGTTGGTTCTGGTGGTCTTACCCCTTTTTTTAATTTTTCTTTTGTTTTTCTGCCTTGACTGGTTTGGGGCTCCGTTTTTTTCCCCACCAGTGGCCCAAAACCCCTTTGGTCCCTTTTTCCCCCCCACTGTTTACGGGGTTCCCTAGATTTAATGGCAATCTTTCTCCCTTTTTTTCCCCTGAAAGAGTGTTTTCCCGGGGGGGCCCCGAGTTTTTCGTCACCCCTCCGGTTTTCAGCCCCTGGGGTTCTGGTAATGGTTTCTTACACAAATAGCTTTTAGGGGATAGCTTCCCCTTTTTCGGGTGGGGGTTGGCGGAATCCGCCACCTACTGGGGAATTTTTATAAACCAAATTCCTTCCTTAAACGTCCGTCGTGTGAAGGAAGTCATTTTGTTTGGGTCCCCCAGGTACTACTTTTTTACTGGTCAGTGGTATTCCTGGTCTCCCAGCTTCATGTCAAGGTCTTTCAACGTTTTTAGTGCTGCAGATGCCTCCTGTAATTGCTGTGGGTTGCTTCCCACCCCAAGGGAAAAGTCTCTCCCGATTCCACCTAATTTGACTGGGGGACTTCCCCCACATATAGTTTTTGGGTGGGGCCGATTATAGCCCTTTCCCAACATCAACAAAATTGCTTGTGGCCCTTAAATTTTAAAATTTGCCCCCAACTTCTTTGTTATCAAGGATACTTGTGCCCCGGGTTTTTAAAGATAATCGGGTTGTTTCGGACCTGTGTCCATTCACAACTTTCCCATGACTGTAGGCAGGGGGCGCACCTCCGTGATTCTACTCGGTTTTAGGATTTCCCCACTAATCACGCTGGCTACCATTTAGGTCGACTCACTTTTACTCTCTGAGAATATTCCTACTAGCCTGGATTTCCCCTTTAAAAATTATTGGGAATATGCGTATGGTGCTTACCTTTGAAAACGGGCTCGACACTCACAGTCTCTCGAAAAGTTTTCCCCCACAACATTTTGAAGCAGGTTTTAACCCTTTTTTTTTTTTAGTCTTGTTGCCTAAAGCTCAGTGTTGTATACTCCGAGCAACTGTGCTAGCGTCTCACCTTCGCAGGAATGCTTTCTGGCATGGAGTCCCTTGGGGTTTTCTGCTTAAAAGGTTCTTATTTGACACCTTTTACCTTAGTCACCCAACGTTAGTCGTACGAGTTTAGACTGATTTCGAGATTTTGAGGGGGGATTTTTCTGGGTTTTTATGTGGCGATGGTGGTGACTTTTCTCTCCACCTATATCAAATGAAAAACGAGATCCCCAAAAACCCTAAACGATTTGTTGTTCTTTAACCTATTCGTCCGATATTTTAAATTGAATATGCATTTTTGGCCACCCGTTTCCTTGAATCCCCCGACGATAACCCTTTTCTGACTTACCCCAATATGTAAATCTTTAAGACTATCTTTTAAAACTTAATTCGATTGGGAAAACTTTCTAGGCTCTGAGGGGTCATGGCGAAACCCTTCTGATCCAAAAAACGATAAAGTATAGCTACTTTTTATTCCTCAGTGTTGCCAAATGTGTCCTTTAATTGGTTTTTTTTGGTGTTGGTAATGGTGTCATTGTTTGGGTAATGCTGGACCAAGTCCAAGGTGTGAACGTAAATATTTAATTTGACGGATCTGACAAATCGTCTTGTCATCTTCTGGGTTTTAAACTGATCCCAAAAAGCAGTGTATCTTTTAAAGGTTTCCCGTCGAACTTGGGAAATTTTAAAAATGGGGTAATTGGGAAAACACAAAAACGGCGTGTTTTGTTCGTTTTCCTTGAAACATTTGCCCCCCCCTGTGCCCCGGCCCTTCAAAACTTTATTAATCCCTGAGAGTTCATCTTGCTTTACACTCTGCCCTTCGTTCGTATAGCCCGTCTGGGGCTATTCGACTGTATTTTTTTCAGATCACCTGTGTTTAGGCCTCTGTCTATAAAGGATAAATGATCTCTAAAAGGCCTTCAGTCTTTGTCCAAAGGTTTCGGAACTTTATTTCCCCCCCCGTTACGTTTGATTT